ATATCCTAAAAAGATCATACAGAACTTTAATATTTATGATACATTGCTACTGCTCCTAGGTTGTTTGGTCATGCAAAAGGGGTATGTCGGTCCACATTTTGGCATAGAATTTTTTCCTACAAAACTGATTAATATTGGTCCACTTTTTAGAGTAGAAAAATTGGCTTAGATTCAGGTTAGGCCTCATATATAGCTGTAGACCCCATTATTATACCCCCCACCATAGTTTGCAGAGTACACCTAAGTCTGTTTTTACACGGTCTTTTTGTACACGGTTTTGATATAACACGGTTTGAAAATTGAATATTTTTAATTTTTTAGACGATTTTATTCCATTTAGCACGATTTGAAATTTTATGTACTTAATTTTTTTGTCAAATTTAATTTTAGGCGAAGTATGTTCGTATCATATCAAAAAGTATTTATGAAAGAAAAAAAGTCTGAAACCATCGATAGTATCGATAGTTTGCGAACACTAGCATAAAGATTTAAGTGAATTCCCCTTTAGCGCGTACAAACAATTTTTACTGGTCAAAGCAAATGTGAATAGCACTAATTTAGGGGAATTCCCTTTATGTATAAGATCAATGTATTTTTTACACAGCTTCTTCTGGAACCAATCATTCCGTTTGTAACTCATCGAAATATTCATTTCTGGCCCCATAAAGTATATATATTCTTGATCCGTCCATCTGTCCGTCCGTCTGTTGTAATCACGCTATCTTCTGAAGGAATTGAGATAGGGTGCTGAATTTGGCATATGTTTGTCTTTTGTCGGCAGGCATGTCAAGTTCGAAGATGGGATATATTGGTCCACGTTTAGGCATAGCTCCCATATAAGGGTACCCCCCAATTTTCGGTATTTTGGGGTTCTTGAGCGAGTTTTTCAACCGAATACGCTGAAATTTGGTACTTTTAGTTTTACTAAATGTCTCCACAAAAAATTATAAACATTGGCCCACTTCTGGTAGCCACATATAACGTTACCTCCTAATTTTCAGTTTTTTGGGGGTTTTGATCGTATTTTTCCACCGAATTGGCTGTAATTTCGTATATTGAGTTCTTAATAGGTACCAAATCTCCCCACAAAAATTATAAATATAGGTCCATTTTTTCGGATAACCCCCATATAAGGGTACCCCCAGTTTTCGGTATTTTGGGGTTCTTGAGCGCGTTTTTCTACCAAATTCGCTGCAATTTGGTATTTTGTAGTAGTATATGGTAACAAATCTCCCTACCAAACATTTTTAATATTCGCCCCTTTTTCATCTGCGGAAGATACGAAAAAAAAACTAGAATATAATGTTCGATAATTAACATGTATTATTCATATATATGAACTGTAACCCGCCTTTAGGCCTAGCCCCTGTTTGGGAGGTACCAGAAGGAGTGGACCGATATTACCCATGTTCGAACTTGAACTAATTTTGGAAGAAATAAGAAGATGAGCAAAGTTTGGATGTTTGTAGAAATGTTGGTATAGGTAAACTTTTTGGTATGTTCCCTACATTTTTATTTCAAGTACCTCTCAGTATATCTATGGTGGAGGGTATCCAAAGTTCGACCCGGCCGAACTTAACGCCTTTTCACTTGTTTATTTTTCTACGTTTTTAAATGAAATGACTCTAATTTGATAGTTTAAGTTCTCAATTGGTTTAAATCTTCCTATTTTCATCTTTCGTTGCCTAGAAACAAATTCTAACAAATTCTAATTAGTTTGTGAGTTATCGTGCCCACATTCGCAAAAACATGTTTAGAGAAAAGCGCGTTTAAAGTTTGAGAAGCCCTTCAGCCGTCACTTAATGCTGACACAATAAATCGGCTATATCTTCAAGATTTATTAGATTTTCATTTAAAAATTTGTAGGGACATTCTTTAATTATTGTAGATTCGAATTATATCAACAAAATTTTTGACCCCGAGAATGGGAGGGGTCTCATTAAATTTTGGCAGTTTTTGGAGTCCTTCCTTAATTAGTATTGCCGTTTTCCTGTAGTTGGCGCTTTTTCTTGCCATCTCTCCCTCGAAAACCACTTTGGATTTTTTTCTTCTCCGATGAAATTTAAAAATTCCGCCTAGCCGATAATGACCAGATTTTTTATCTTAGGCAAACATTTTTTCCAATTTGGCTACAGCAAAATTGTTTATCAATATATCTCCGATATTGATTGGATGTCCACATCTGAACCGACCGGGAAAAATTGAGGAACAAGGAACTCGTAAATAAGCGTCTTGTATCTAGGTGGCAGACAAGATGGAATGAGAGTAGGAATGGTGGGTGACGCACACCTTTTTGAAAGACGTTGTACAGAATCGACAGGAATTTGGCTTCGGGATATTTACTGGCATGGTTCGTTAAATGCATATTTGCATAAGAGTGCTTTGTCTGTAACTCAAAATTTTGGATGTGGCGAGGGACGCGAGGATGCTGTGCACGTACTGAGTCAGTGCATGTATTATGATGACTTCAGAAAATTGGCCAGTACGGATATTCACAGTGCACACGATGGTTGGGATTAACCACTTTAGTCGTGTGGGTCGAGACTTATGAGGCACTTGTTGTATTTGTAAGGGAGGTGTTTACTAGGAGGAGGACTTAACGGAGGTGATTCCCTGAGTTCTAATGGCTATGAAGCTGGGCAGGCGCTATAGTCTGTGGGTAACCAGTCTCGAACTGTTTGGAGTTCTACTGGTAAAAACTTCGGCTATGGACCTGATCGAAGTTTTTCGGTAGAATGGCTTTCAGCTCCCCTATGTCTGCGGATCTAGTCTGGCAGTTGGTATTGACCCTTCAGGGAGCATTGTGCTGGAGGTATTTTATACCCAAAACACAAGTGGAGTTTCGGCTCGGTGTAGAATGCATTACAATTGATGGGCTCCGCGCCTTATGAACTGGACTTTACAGCACCGTGGGGTAAAATCGCATTGGTAGTTAAGCATGAACTATATACCTAAGATGGAGCCAAAACTTTTCCTCAAATGTCAAACTTTGTACCAAATATGCCAAATTATGCCAAAAATAAAAGTTCGGAATTCTAAACAGGTTTCGCAAAGCGTTACTTCCAACGGGACGAAGAGTACTTGGTGAATACAATAGAATGTTTCAAATCGAATCAATTAGAACGGAGACCAGGAGTTACAAACACTGCAATGTGTTTTAAGGCGTTAAACGGATCCAAAAATTGTGAAGGCTACAAGGGACTCCTAAAGGGTCGACAATGGTTTCTGGTGACTTATTTCCGACGGGTTAAGAGTTCTGAAAGCTATAAGGGTCCTGAACAAATTAATTCCAACGGACCCAGGAGTTACGAACACTGCAGGGAATTCTTAAACGGTAAATTCCAACGGGGCGAAGAGTTTCGGATACTACAAACAGTTTCGATGGGTCAAGATATACGAAAACTACGAACACTAAAAATTCCTAACGTTGCAGAACTTATTATTTTGTCAAAATAAATCCAAATCGCTTATGTCGATGGCTGGATGAATATTTCGAAGTGTTGCAAACGGAATAACAAATTTAATGTAGCTTCAAAGAGGTCTGCATAATGGTAATGTTCGAAGTCCTCATGAAATTATCTGAAGATATTGTCTCTCGTGGGAGGATGGTGCAACCAACATCATTGGAAGATATTGCAGCGAATTTACGACATATCGAATGCTAGAGGTCTTCCGATATCGAAACAAGAGAGCGAAGCCTTCCATTGGGAGGAGAATGAATTAAATGCACGCCTAAAAGTATGCTAGGAAAATATTTTAAAAAATCCATGCCTAAAAGTATGCCTGGAAAATGTTTTAAAAAATCCATGCCTAAAAGTATACTTGAAAAATATTTTTAAAAATGCACGCCTAAAAGTATACTTGGAAAATATTTTTAAAAATGCACGCCTAAAAGTATACTTGAAAAATATTCCTAAAATATATCCACGCCTGTCGAAAAATTGAAAAAAATAGTTTGAAAAAATCCACGGTTAAATTGAGACTTGAAAAAATATTTTGAAAAAATCCACGCCTAAAATGAGACTTGAAAACATATTTTGATAAAATCCACGCCTAAATTGAGACTTGAAAAAATATTTTGAAAAAATCCACACCTGTCGAAAAATTGAAAAAATCCACGCCTGTCGAAAAATTGAAAAAATCCACGCCTGTCGAAAAATTGGAAAAATATTTTGAAAAAATCCACGCCAAAAATGAGACTTGAGAAAATGTTTTTTTAAAAAATCCGCGTAATTTGAAAATTAAATAAAAAAAATTCACGTCTATCGAAGGCTTGAGAAAATATTTTCCATTTTCTCCCAGACTTATGCAATGGGAGACTTTGCTCCCATAAAGTTGTTACATAAAATATAGCGTTTTAAGGGGATCCCCCCATTCTCGGGGTCAAAAAATTTTTTGATTTAATTCGAATCTACACTAATTCAAGAATGTCCCTATAAAATTTCAAGTGAAAATCTCAAGAACTCTTTAAGATATAGCCGATTTATTGTGTCACCATCAAGTGACGGCTAAAGGGCTTCTCAAACTTTAAACGCGTTTTTCTCTTTTGCGAATTGCGGGCACGATAACTCAAAAACTAATAACCCAATCGATTCCAAATTTTTACACGTTTCTCCAAGTCATTCGGTGAAGATCTTCCTTATTTTTTAACTTGGGTTTTGGTCAAAAATCGGCGATTTTCCAAAAATATTTTTCAAAGGTCCGCCATTTTGTTAATTTTAGAGCGAAGTCAATAATTCTAGTTCATACGAGAGCCAGACATGTACTCTTTCTAACACCATTGGAATTTTAGAAATTTTTCCCTTAAGCCAAATGAATTCGATGAGCAATGGTTATATCTGGACAACGCCCCCTAATGCATCCAGACGAAGGAATATCTTCTTTTGAGCTGTTTAAAAGCCACGTCCAAAAAAGAAACCACTTCTTTCTATTCCTCCATCTTTTTTTATTCAGTCTAATTTTTGTGTTAATTAATATCTAAATTACAAATCAAATCCCCCTCACGAAGCCGCAATACTTTGTGTCACTTCTTCTGCATCTTCGCCATCATCCATATTGACCATTTGTAAATCTTCGACGAAATTTGTCAGCGGCAATTCAGCTTCTGTCGCAACATCGCCACTACCACTAGATTCCGGCACCTCCGATGATGGCAGTTCCATTGAAGCTTCCACCTCAGGGTTTGTTCTACCCTGAGCTAAGAAGATGGAATTTGATGGATTTCCGGCTATGGGCATGCCAGCCATTGGAAAACCATTTTGTATATTGACGGGACACATACAAGGTACAAATTCCACATTGGCAGCTGCAACGGTGGGACTGGGTGATGCTCCTGACTTATTATCCTCATTTATATTACTTGGTGGTTTGTAGATGGAATATTCAGGGTAGGGATATACAGGACGATTATAGTTGATGTTAAAATGATTGGTGTACACCTTGCGATTAAAGGCGGGATAGGCAGCCTCAATGTTAACAACAGCATCGGTTTTAATGAAGGCAGCAGTTCCATCATTTTTGCCCTCGGACTTTGTTGTGGCAGCTGTTGTAGTTGTGGAGGCAGTTGTTGTGGTGGGTGTAGGAGTTGTTGTTGTAGTCGTAGTTGTACTACTGGTTGTTGGTTTCGGTGTTGTTGTCGTCGTCGTCGTGGTCGTTGAGGTAGTAGTTGTCGACGAAGTAGTCGTAGGGGTGGTTGTACCCTTTGTCCCACCAGCTGTTATTTGATTTGCACCACTCCACGACCTCACCACATTTGCATATTTTTTCCCTTGCTTTACTTCACCTTTATTACTTTTGACTTTCTGCTACGTCCGCCGTTGGCACTGCCAAACCACCTGCCCCCAGCACCCATTGCCTGTGGCAGCAGAGATAACATTGGATTAAAATATG